ATCTATCTATCTATCTATCTATCTATCTATCTATCTATCTATCTATCTATCTATCTATCTATCTATCTATCTATCTATCTATCTATCTATCTATCTATCTATATATCTATCTATCTAATTTGTATCTCGCATACTGAATGCTAATTGTTAATTTTCCTTATTATGTGATTATCTGTCTGTTTTCTCTCTTGTTTGTTAATACTTCTGTCTTTTACAATTAATTTCTCAGACAATTCCTATTATAACACGGGGAATGGTCTGTTTTTACTGCGATCCATACTCAGTGTTTAATGACAGGCTCAAAGGGGTTGCTAGAGTAGGTAGCATATTTGCTGTGTACAAGCCAAGAGGCAAACCCTGAAGTGTTTAAATGTATATGTCCTTAAGGCCTAATATTTATACTCTCATCAACTCTTATTATACTTTTTCCTTACCTTTGCTGGTGGAAAGTAACATTCCTTAGCGTGTTACATACAAACAAAAACATTGCCCCATATTGCTTCTAGAGGCAAAAATTCCATAGAGTAACTTTAACTTATTGGTACAAAGTGTGTTATATATAAAAATAAAAACAGAATACGAGCAGTGAAATAATTTTATTGTGACATTGATGTAGTAGAAATGTTGGCATTATTTATTATTAATTAGCAGTGTTTTATCAATTATTTCTGTTCAGGTGTCTAAGACAGCTCCCACTGGAGAGTACCTGACCACTGGAAGTTTCATGATCAGAGGTACAACACAGTAAAATTTTAAGTTTCAGTGTGTAGGATTTAGTGGCATCTAGCAGTGAAGTTGCAGATTGCAACGAGCTGGATACCTCTCACCTCACCCTCCCCTTTCCAACGTGTAGGAGAAACGTCGTTGGGCGTATAAAATTTCAAGAGTCTTTGGCCCTCTAGAGCCAGTGTTTGGTTTGTCCGTTCTGGGCTACTAGAGAAACATGGCGGACCCGCTGTGTTAATTTTTTTTTCACAACAGATTTTCCACAACTCTGCCTCAGATTGGCTTGTACTCATTCCCTCCATTAGTTAAATTGGTTAGGTAGGGTAGGTTTAGGGTTAGCCTATCAGAGGCAGAGTAGGGGGCAGGACTTGAAAAAATAAATAATGCAGCTGTCTTTAGAAATAAAATGCTCATTCTAAGGTAACAAAAACACATAAGTTCTTATTTTCAGTTGATCATACAGTAATGAAAACATACTTATGAATATTATATTTCATTTCTGCCATATTCTGCCAGTAGATCCCCCTAAATCTTACACACTGGTCCTTTTAAAGTGAATACATTTGTAAAGCACCCGAGCCAAATATGAGAAGTGTATGTGCTATGGTGATGTCTGACAGAGGACCTAACATTTGATTTATTTCTCTCCAGGAAAAAAAAACTTTCTGCCACCTTCTTACTTGATTATGGGCTTTGGATTCCTCTTCAAGGTAAAATACTACCATGAGCTGTGAATCCAGCTTTAACTCAGTCATTTTCAAAAATTAAGTTTCTTGCTTGTCTCCGTTGCAGGTCGACGAGCAGAGTGTGTTTCGGCACAGAGGGGAGAGAAAGATGAAGACTCTAGAGGAGGACATGGAGGATGTCTCATCCAGAACTGCTGAGCTGTTAGAGGAGGGAGAGGAGCTGATAGGTAGCAGACACACAATTTAATTTAAAGTGTATGTATCAACCATATTCAGGTGTTGTAACCGATTCCATCGCCTTTGCAGGTGATGACAGCAGCAATGAAGATCAGGGTGAGGAGCGAGCGGGAGGAGACGGAGAGACGGAAAAGAAGATCAAAAAGGTGGTTGATGGGAATGATGGTGCGAGTGGAGAACTGGCCGCTGTTCCTGAGGAGGACAACCTGGAGGCAGACGGAGGGGTGGGTAGTGAGGACGACAGTGGGAACGAAGATGAGAAAGAAAGTGAAGAATTCAGCTTTCCAGATACGACTATCTCCCTCTCTCATCTACAGCCCAGCAGGTAATGCGCCCACTACTACACACAGGACAAATTAAACACAGACTATCACTGACACATGACAGTGAATGGTACTTGAATGAAATTGTCTCCTCTTATATCAAGGAGCGCTCAGAACCCTGGTTTCAAAAAGGAAGCAACCACTCAGGTAATTGGTTGCCATCTCAGGCCACATACATTACAGCAATTTCATCAAAGTAAAATCTTAAAAGTATATGTTCATCTTCATATCTTCATATGTTTATTCATTTAATTCTGTTCAGATTGAGGTTGACTCACAGGCGAAGAAACACATGACTGCCAAGCAGAGAAGGTGAGTGAAAGGAATAAAATACTTAGTTACTCATGTACTGATTCCACAATGGGCTTTCAGCAACAGGTAGTGTTAAGACATTTGGTTGGTTACTACCGTATGCAGTCATTTAAAATGTTGAATTAAGACACTGAGGACATTTGTCTTTGCTTAACAAGCGGATGCAGGAGACTATATTTAATGTAGCACTTATAAACTGATCGGCCAGTCATTGATTTAATCCTCAGGTGTTTTTGTCTTTTGCCACTAGAGAAGAGAAGAAGAAGAAACAGAAACAGGAAGAGTGTGACACAGAGGAGAAGACAGAGATTTCATCTGGTGGATCAGCAGCCGATCAGGGATCCAAAGGTGGAGGAGGCCCCTCCCAGCAGCCACTAAAAAGAGGCCAAAGGGTAAGGGAAAAGTGTGAAGATAAGATGTTGTGTTCAAATCTAAAAACAAGTTATACAACCTTCAAGAATATGTGGAGACTAAAACATACAGAAAAAAATGAAACATAGTATATTTAAAAGGGATAAGGAGACAAACAACACTGGTATAATTATTGGTACAAAATTGTTTCAGTATCAAATGCTGTAACACAATAAAAATTATTCTAGACACGACGGAAGAAACATCTCTAATAGAGTTGAGGTTTTATAAACAACACCTGTACCTTTTTGATATTTGATGGATTAATATTGAACCTCAACTTATCTGATAATTCAGTCTGTGTTGTGTCTGTGTGTATTCTTTCCCTGTTGTCACTGCAGAACAAGTTAAAGAAGATCAAAGAGAAGTACAAAGACCAGGATGAAGAGGACAGGGAGCTGATGATGCAGCTGCTCGGGGTGAGGTAGAATAAAAATGACGTTATTGTGTACTGTACAGGGACATAGCCATCAGCAACATTTTTAGTGACCCACTAAATAACAGTACAACTGTTTTTTCCTCCTCAGTCAGCTGGCTCCACTAAGGAGGAGAAGGATAAGGGGAAGAAAGGAAAGAAGGGCAAGGGGAAAGAGGAAGCCATGAGGAAACCACCCTCTCAGAAACCGTCCCAGAAACCTCGTAATGTGGAAAATGCAGCGAAGAAGCCAGAGCAGACAGGAGGAGGGGAGGATAATGAGGAGCGACAGCCTGGAGAGGAGGGAGGTCCTGCTGAACAAGAGGACAAGGTACATGACACATGTCAGAGATCCAGCTGGTGTCTGAAATGTACTGTGTCTGATGATGTTAACAAAGTTACCTGCCAAGAGAACAATCAAAATGTCCCTTTGTGTCTTTTGAATTGTGTTTTTGTATAGAATTAGATACTACTGTATGCAGTAAACATACTTTACGTGGGCTTTGTATTGTATGTTTGTTCATCATCAATGCTTTCCCCTCTTTCAGGAAGACGACGTGGACCACGACAACCCCGGAGCAGAGGTGGGCTCTTAATGTAAACATTTAACTGTGGACAAATAGTTCTGTAATAGAAATAAATCATCATTGTCTCTTTTATATTCGTAATTATTCAAAGATTATTTCGGGGATAAATGCATATTAATTTTGCATCATTCATTTTAACCCACCAGTAAGTTTACTGCTGCATTGGTCTAACTGTAGCTGTCCTCTGTGCTGCCTCAGGAAGCAGAGAACCTGCTCACCTCTCTGACAGGCCAGCCTCATCCTGAAGATGTACTGATGTTTGCTGTGCCAGTCTGTGCTCCATACACCGCCCTTTCCAACCACAAGTACGTGCAATTAACTTTTGTGTGTGTATGAGACAAAGTGAAGAGTGCTCAGGCTAATGAGTCATTTGTTTTCCACAGACATAAGGTGAAACTGACACCAGGTTCTCAGAAGAAAGGGAAAGGTAAGAAAAGTGATCCATTAGAATATACATAAGACCTTTCCTTAATGTTTTACAGTGAAAATTTTTACTTTTAGAATTAACAGGTTTTTTTTCTTCCTACCAGCTGCACGCACTGCAGTTTTAAGCTTTATGAAAGCCAAAGAGACATCAACCAGAGAAAAAGACCTGTTCCGCAGTGTCAAGGTAAAGAAGTTTACTGGGTTATAGTTTTCTGTGAAAGGTAACTCTAAATTCAATAAAGTGTTTACAATCATTTGTTGTGTTGAAATGATTGATTGTGGACATTGGATTTACAACAATTTGAAAAAGAATCTGCACTCTTGATAATTAAATAATTCAACAACTTGAGTTATTATTTATGCTGAACATTCAGTTTCCAGCTTATTAAATGTAAAGATGTGCTGCTTATCTGTTGTGATTAGGTACTAGACTGTCAGACAAGAAAAATAGAAATTGTGTTGACAATTTCTAGACTAACCATATAATTAACAGGTAAAAAAGAACGGCAGTTTGTTTTTCTTGATGTTATAATCCCCCTCTCATATCATCCTGTGTTGCAGGATACTGATTTGTCCAGAAACATGCCGGGCAAAGTTAAAGTGTCTGCTCCAAACTTGCTGGCTGCCAAGAAGAAATGAGAGATGGGTGAATACAGACCTGACAACAAGTGTGGAATTATGATATTAAACACAGAACTACAGTTCAGTGGGACTAATCTACATTTCAAACAGTTACAGGTTAAAGATCTGATTGTCACACAGTACAGTGTTCCTGTTTGGATATGAATAATTTTATTAAGATTTAATGTATTAGTTGACCAACAATTTGTTTGAAATGAAAATATGTAAATTAACAAAGCTGAACAGAACAGTTTATGGTATATGTTTATTCTTTGAGTATAAAGTAACATTATGCACCATATTCTACAATAAAAAACACCAAGGGAACATTGTGCAAACCAGGCAAATACAAATAAAGCCCTACTGACATTAGGCATTTCAGTGCAATGTGGCTCAACATCCAATACACTCGCAGTATTTAAGTTGATTAAATGAAAGTACTACAGGAGCCATTAATTACAATTTAAAAGGTTTAAAAGCTTTTTTTGAGAACAAGAACCCCCATATTTCCTCACAAGAGTGTGTGTATAAACTAAGAATAAACATTTCTGTGGCTTCAGAGTAGATAGTCTTGCGTAACAAAGCAGTAGTTTTAGGTCTGTGAAAACTATCCAATATTCAACATTAAAGCAACAGGTTCCCTAAAAAAACAAAAAGCTTTCAGCCTTGCACCACTGCATTTAGTGTTAAGACATTAGACACATATTTAACATTGGTTCTGTTTTAGCAAGTGACTGGCATGTGTGTTTGTTTATAGGAGCAGAACTTTGCCCTTGACTCTTGTATACCTACAAGATTTACTATACTCATGGTGAAAAGGGACTTTGCGAAAACACAAAGCCAAAGTCCTGCCCCCTTTCCAAACTACCCCCCCCCCCAACCCCCCTCTTGTTTTCCTATCCAGTACAGAAGCATGTATACATTTATCTTCAAATATGGAAACAAAACCATGATATTACATTTTAAGAGGGAGTCATAAAAGAAGTTCTCTTGAAAAAATTAAGCTGAACAAAAACTAACCTGAAAGTAGTGCAGGACTTGCATCACCTTCACTGCTACTCCACTAAAAGGTTCTACTGTCTTTGCAAGAGTTCAATATAAGATAATTAACAGAAAAGGGTAATGGAGAGTTTGAGGATCGCCTGTGAACCTTTGTGTGCCAGTCAGTACCTATCTCCAACAGTTCCACAGCTGTTCACTATTGCTTAGATTTTTTTTTTTTTGTATGTGTACACACACATTAAACTAACACTCCAATAGGACTACCTGCTTTGAGGGTGACACTGATCTTTGATCTTACACACACACACACACACACACACACACACACACACAGTAATCCTCCGGAGTAGATTGATGGCTTCCTCTCAGCCTACGAGCCCATTGTATTGACATGTGCCATTCTCTGTTTGAGGCTGTGCAGGAGGTGTTTAGGTAAGCAGTCCCAGTAACTAGACAAACGCTCCCTGTGCTGCAGGACTGCCTCCATACAGAACCTGGGGAGTGGGGACAGGCAAATATAAGCACAATATAATAAGAACATTTCAGTTTCTGGTGTAAAATAAAGTCCCAATTGTAGAGCATCATCTTCACTTCTGCACACTCACCGAACTAGTGATTTAGGCTGAACGTTGAAAACTAGTAACTCATTGCTATGAGCCTGTTAAAAAAAGAAAAAAAAAAGTCAAATTCAGTAGAAAAGCTTTTAATGTATGTAAAACAACAACTATTATATCAAGACATGACTTGCAGCTTACAGCTCTGCGATTGGACAACAGGTTGTTGGCACACCCTCCAAACACAAACACCTCCCCATCAGGACCGGAGCACGCTGTGTGCCACAGCCTGAAATACACACAGCACAATTTCAACTACTGTCTACATAGTGTGTGTTCACTTAACATTTTTCACAAACCCTCAATCCACATGAGCAGCCATCCCCTGGAAACTTTATCTACAAGCACACAAACCTTAGTGTTCACGAGTGCAAGATGACAGAATTACCTTGGTCTCTCTGTGTGACTGTGTTTGAAAGGCTTCCATTCATTTTTGCTCACATAGTACAGCCAAGCGTCGCCTGAAAAACAGAGGATACCTTCCTGAGACCAGCGACCATTTTGAGGTGGCCAGGATTTATTTGCTACTCCAGAACAAGTGTCAAGACTCACTCAGTGTCTCCCTGTCTGTGGTGAAACCTCCAAATAAGAAGATGTGGTCTGGTGACACAGGAGTGAAGGAGTGCCAAGACCGGCCCACAGGACCATGTTGGGGAACGCTCCTACAAGAACACAATTGATAGATGATGTGTAACTGTAGATGCACGTTAGAGGATGACTGTCAATAATGAGCATCAATGCCCTCCTGTCCTTCGCAAAAGGTGTCCTGATAATATAGTATTTAATTTCTCTTGTCAGGTTATTCTGCAGGAAGGCCTATGTAAATGAAAAGAACACTTACATTTCATGCCACTCCCACGTGTCCAAGTCGATGTAGTACAGGTCATTTAGCCTGTAGTTCTGTGGAACGATGGAGATGGAGAATGAATTCGCAAATCTGGGACTACACTTTTGCAGAGGTAGGCAAAATCAGCAATATCAACCATATGACAGGAATTCACAACAAAAGAGGCTCAACACACACATGTTGCATTGTTAGTTTTATTTTCCTTACCTTGTATCGTCCACCAAACACATAGCCTCGGTTACCAACTGTGGCGCAGGCATGAGCTGCTCTGGGTGATGGGGTGTTCCCCTACATCAAGCCACACCAACACAGAGAAAATATTTATTAATGTCAAATAATTTTTTTAGTTTAGTCTTAAAGAGTTCCAATATATCTGAAAAAGCATATAAACATGTGAGGTAAAGTTGGTAGCATCTGTACATGTGTTTACCGTAGTGATAGGCTGGCTCCATGTAGATGTCTCCAGGTCCAGGATATGGATGTGGTTGTTCCAGCCTCTCCCAGGGCTGTCCCACTGCAGCAGCAAAAAACAAACAAAATATTTATTTTTTAAATAACTTGCTATTAAGGGGCAGCTTTTCTTTTAAACTAATGAAATGTAGAAATATACACTGATTGAAAGATTCAGCACTTAAAGTCATTGTTCATTATGTGAAGAGGATTTTTGTTTGCCTACCGCAAGTGAAGACGATTCATCATATTCAAAAGTCCCTTGATAAGGTCCTTGTGCAGCATAGCCATAGCCCCCAAAGAATATAAGTCTACAAATACAATATCAGACAAAACATTTAAAATATCGCTCCCAAGTTAAAAATCTGTAATTACCTTTATGCATCTATTGTGTATAAATCACCCAAACTATGGTTAACATGATCACATGGCTGAAACTCAGTTCTTGATGGCCAACATTTAATGTAATTCAACACTCAAGAAACCTAGTTTCAGTTCATTTATGACATTTGATCAGTGCATCTACAAGCTAAAATTCAAGGCACTTTAAGGGAAAGTTTGTAAACTTGCTTCTTAAAATAAAACTTATTTAAATGAATATTTTGTGTCAAAAGATTGTCTTCACTGAAGTCATAATTAACCATGCAATCAATTCAGTTTTATTTATATTGGGCCAATTCAAAACAAAAGTTATCTCATTGCACTTTTCATATAGAGCAGGTCTAGACTGTACTCTATTATTTACAATTCCCACCATGAGGACTTGGCGACACATGGAAAAGAATATGTACAGCTTTTTGAATTGGGATCTTGAAGCTTCCTACTGGGGAGCTTATTTGTCAAGTAGCTTGCTGTAATTATTACCACTTTCCCAAGCACACTGGGTCAGTAGTGATAGTCTGATTAATCTTTCAGCCGATATCTGGCATTTTGGTACAGTCATCCTTCACCTGTTCTTCTGAACCCAGCACCCTAGCTTGTCCTTGCAGGATGGAGGGAGTCCTTTCAGATCCCTCATTTCCTCCCAAACGAGGCTGGGAGCTCTCAGGGGCAGGCGGTAGATCTGCAAAGCACAGCACAGAATGCAGGAGATCTGAAAGGGGATCGCAAACTCAGCAGGCTGACCCACCTCAAGGTCTTGTGTTTCAACATCATGCACTCATTTAAAAAAAACCCAAAACAAACAAAAAAATCTGGATGTTAAAAAAATTGTTTAATGCAACAGACAAACTGTACCCTGTTAGTGTTTCCCATGGTGTGATGACCTCCAAATAGGTAGAGGACTCCATCCACACAAACCCCACAGCTGCCCGACATGGATGTGTGCAGGTTACCTCCGGCTAAATGCTTTGTCCTGTGAACATTAAGGTTTTCTTTATTTTGTCGACTTTGCGTGCAAATGACAAATTTAATGTAACAGCTATTACCATACTCCTGACTCCATGTTGTATGTCCAGATCTCACTTCTCGGCAGGTACAAGTCATAGAATCCGTTGTTTTGAGCATTCTTATACAGAGGAGAGTAAATATAATTTAAATAAAAATGCTGACTGGAGGAAAATGTTAGTAAATATAATAAAAAATGCAGATGTAGGATCTAATAAACTCCTTACCTTGTATCCACCCCAGACATACATGATGTTTCTGTCAACCACTGCTATATGACCACTGCGCTCAGCTGGGGTATCCAACTCAAAGGACTCGGATGCTTCAGTGTCCAAGGGCTGTTCATCCTCCACCTCGTCCTCATCCATATCGTCATTTACCATCCAAGCAAACAGCCTGTCATCTTCATCTCTGTCTGAGTCATTGTCATCCTCTCCGGCTGGCACATCTCCAATGTCTTCCTCCATCTCTGCCATTCTCTCTGCCATGTCAGTCTATCTATCAGGGCAAGAAGTGTGTGAGAGAGAATCATATAGGTTTGTTCTGATAGGATTATTAATTGACTGATTACTTTGTCCAATAATCTAAAAGTAGTATAACAGTAACGTTAAGTTAAAACGACCCACATTCAACACACTGGCTGTAACGTTAAGGAAATGAAGCAATTCATTTTTAAAAGAACAAGACAACAACAAAGGCATGTTCTTTCTAAATATGGCGTGTTTACTGATCTATACCTCAGCTTTTTAGTGCAGTTGCAAGAATTTAGCATTTATAGATACCATGACTATAATTCGGGACAATGGACCAGATAGCGATAGCAGCAGATTACTGTTGACCTACTTTGTTTGGCTTAACTATTTAGGTTGCTAAATGAACGTTGGCTGTTAGCTTAGCCTTTGTCTTAAAGATAAGACTAACTGAAGACCCAAGTGAACTGGTTATGTTTAAAAATCCCTAAACCGCTTGGCTGGCCATCAAGCCAGCGAGCACCTAACTGCCGTTTGCTAACATTACAGAGCGTTTGTGAACTTCATAATGCAAAACACTCGGACGATTCGGAGCAAGGAAGGTCCTAAAAATGATATCGGCCACGGTGCTCTCGAAGCTAACCTGCATGTGATTGTAGCTCTGGATAAAATCTATCCGCACCTGTCGCTA